ATATATATAATCCTGTAGAAAAAGCTCTAACCTTAAATGCAATTAATCACTTTTAAGAAAGTGTAAATTTTTTAATTATTTAAAAGAAAAATATTAACTGTATAAACACTGAAAAATCAAATTACCAAAGCATGTTTATCAAACAAATGCTTAAAAGTATAAACAAAAAATAATTAAACTGTAATAAAAGGGCATTTCATTTCTTCTAAAACTCGATACTCTAATAAAATTCTACAGTAGGCTAATGAGAAATAAATTTTTTGGCCATTTTCCTATCATTTTACCAAAATCACTTTAATTTAACAATTAATTTTAAAAATTACTATACCAGAAAAAGAATATTTATAAGATCACACAGAACTGCCATGCATGGTGGCATTTGCCTATAATCTCAGCTATTCAGTGTGCTGAGGAAGGAGGATAGATAAGTTCTAGACACCCTGGGAAATTTAGCGATACACTGTCTCAAAATAAAAAATAAAAAGAGCTGAGTGTGTAGTTTAGTGACACAGCATATGTGAAGCCCTGGATTCAATCCCTGGTATACAAATAATAGTAATAAAAACCGATAAACTGTAAATAAAAAAGCCAAATAAAAAAGCCAATGATTAACTCACAAGCACTCACCATGACAACTCTTTATCAGCAGTTAAGGACCAAACAGCAGCATTCAAAAGTAACACAAATTTGAAAAACTGAGGCCTACTTAGGAAACACTGTAATTCTTAACAAGTTGCATATTCATACCACAAGTTACAATTTTCCCTCTGCCCCACTGTTTGAAGCTATTCGCTCCAGACCCAGGCAGTCCCTGTGAACCTGCCTCTAGTTCTAGGTAAAACAGCCCAGAGATTACTGTGGCTGCTGCTCTGCTTCTCTGGCTACTATCAGATAGGAAACGCTAGCAGGAGCCTCACCAAAGCTGAATTATTTTAAAAGGAGGCAGCATTAAAGATAGACTTGGAAAGTAATTTTAAAAGGAAAAGTGACTTTCTTATTTTACAT